CTAAATGTATGGATGAAATGGTAAGTGGGTGACTCGAAAGTGGTTGGCTTGTAATCCTAACTTCAGTCTCGTTCATGTCTCATTTGCGTCGGATGAACAATCGGTGGGTGGATCGATTAATAGAAAAATCAGATCTGAAGTAGATATGTTTTCCTTTCTCTTACAGGCGAAAGACCGATAACATCTAAAAACACTTGTGCCCTTACGCAATATTGAGGCCATCTTGACAACCAGGACTCACAATCCGGTAGCTGTGACCTTCCCTACCAGCTGGGCAGCAGGCAGGCTGCCGACTCGTGCGTGCACCAAGAAATGCATGGGGATAAGCGAAGCGAGTCCCTCCTCTACCAATTCCCTACTTTGACCTTGGTTTGTAGTATTGCCCTAAAATACCGATGTGAGTTTTCTGTCTACCAGTTTCTTTCTCTTTCGCCCCCTGCCTACTGGAACAATCACGATAGTTTTCTGGTGTAATGTTCATAGTTTTCATCAATTTTTAAGTTAAAGTGGGAAAGCTTATTGTCTCTTACGACAATTTGGACTACAATATGATTCAGTCCTGCTTTCCCAACGACAACGGGAGCGTCGAATTCATGAATTGCACCAGAACTGACTACGCGTCCCGTCTTGTTTGCTTCAATGAAAAGTTCATTGTGGCAGTGAGCACACATCTGCTTCTTAATGTTCCAGCATATCACCATTGATAAAAAGATGAGTTTATTCAAAATTCTAGAAATTTTTACTTTGTCGGCAGAGGACATGGAGTAATTTTTTCACCATTACTTGCATGTTCTTAACGGTCTGCAGGAAATTTAGGCCATATGGTATCTTGATATCACAGCCAATTCCTCTTGTAGTAACCTAGTCTAGAGACATGCCTAGAATTTCCTATTTGAGTTCTCTGTTTAGAGAGCGTGCAAAAGAAAATTTGCGTTTAGGAAGATTGCATTCATTTTAGAATATAGAAAGCAGCCAGTTTTATACTACCTTTAATATCGTAAAGCAGTCTACATAACGCGGACCATGTAAGCTCTTTGGACATCATCTCTGAGTTAATATACGGCTAATGTAATCCAGTATCCAGTACGCTTTACCCCAAAGTATCGTCCCCATAACTAGCGCTTGAGATTTTGCAGAAATCTGTTTTTTGGCATAGATCGGATGCAAAATGGTACCTCTAAGTGAGTGTTATTCAGTTTGATGTGTCAAAGTAAAAAACCAAGTGTTACTGATGAAAACAGGGGTAGCCATTCTAATTTTTGATAAATTATTGACTATTATGATTAAACATTTGCACAGCTAGCAGTTATAAAAAAAGCTTGCACTCAATTTAAGCTGATTAGGCCACAGTTCTGACAATGCGGTAAAGTAAGCATCAAAAACTACTAAATAATAAAATGCAGTCAACAAATAGAGGTTAAATTCCTTTGCCTTTTTAGTAGAAAATTTCAGTTTTAATAAACACGAGAACCACTGCTTGAAAAAGTTGAAGTGATGCAGAAACTTTAGAGCTGGTAAATCGGTATAGGGAATATGGAGGTTTTTCCATGAAATGCAGAGCGATTACACTCTCTTTGAAATAGGGTAAAGAAAAAGTAATGAAATGTTCGTAGCACATGTTCGAAAGAATTTGTTTACAACTTTCGTATTTGCAACGTCTTTGCCAAATACTCGGCGTAATAGAATTTGCAAGCGTGACAGACTGAATAGCGGTTTTACGTGTGGCACGTAAAAGTGCTTTCGACTAGAAAGCATTAACATAGTCTGACTCTGTAAACTGGGTACAAGACATGGAAACTGCATTGTATTTTACATTATTTTACATCGCTTAATCCCACTAGCAAAGGCATTTGCAAATTTAATTGTTGTTTACCTAGGCATCTATTTGGTGCTACAGACTTGGCCACTTCTATCCTTATGTTTATTTTATGTGCTCTGCATTATGCCTAATGGGTAAAAATCCACACTACTTAACCAAAATAGTGCAAACGCTGTTATGTGTTTCCAGGATAGCTTCAGGAATCCTTCATTTATTCACTTGATAAATACAAGCATTGAGTTTTGGCAAAAACATGTAAGTGTATGCAGTAATGTTGGAAAAGAGAAAGAAATAATGATCAGATAAAAGAGAAAGCAGTTTATGCTATTTAACTATAGGGCACTATCAACCTCTATTACTTAAAATAGTAGAAACTTTGAATTTATGCACTGCTTGGATTTTTATTTCATCAACAGCCAAATTCGCAACCTAATTCCCCCTAATGTTACGCTTCGGCGTACTGTTTCGAATTATATATTAAAATTAAGGAATAGTTACGGGATAAAGCATTCGATTGAATAGTCGTTCATTTTATTTTCAGTTCTCTTCTGTATTGGGTCATTGCTTATATTTCGCATGGCAGTATCAAATCTGTCATCCCCCTATTCCGTTACACCAAAAATAAGCACATTACCTTCCTAAAACTCCTCCAAAATGCATGCTTTATATGTTATGCAATAGTTTTGTCCGATACAGCAGTTAATTAACACATATATACAAGATATTATGGCACCAATAAACAACATTTAGCAAACAGAAAAGAGCGGGCATCAAAAACAGAATTAAAAGCACTTAAGAGGTAAGAATGTCACAAAGTGGTAAGATAATAACTTAACGCACTTAGGTCACTATGAGTTTACGATTAAGTGAAATTTGCACTGGCTTTAGCAGCACTGCTATTTTCGTTTGGTTCCTGTACTGAATTAGGCTGGGATGGATCGCAATATTTAGTTTTATTTTGGCCTCAGAATATCCCGTGTTATTTCAAGAGATTTGGGCCATCTAATCGAGTGTCTTGACAGCAGATCCAACAGCCATATTTGCACTCTTTTCTGCCTGCTTCATAGAAGTAGTGTGACTTCTTTTACCTGAATTATTAACTGACACAGGTATCAATGACGATCAGAATCTAGTGCAAAGATATATGCTGCATAGATGTGAAGCATTTTCCGTTTAAAAGGGTAAGCCAAGTATCCTGCAAAAAAGGCTCATCCTGCATAGGTGTTCAATTTATTAAAATCCTCAAAATCAAGGGATATTTTGTTATTTTTCTAAATGCAAACTTCAACAACTCTTTGACTGCCTTACTACATTTAAGTAAGAGTTGCTGGTTGGAGAGCAATGGTTATATTGGTAGCATTTTTTTCGCATTTGCTTTTAAATAAAGTGAACTTTGCTGGAGAAAGTCATCTGGTTAGTTTAAAACCCAATAATCTGGTGAGGGGACTGAAGAAAAAATGAGATACTTTTCTTTGTTGAAATGCATTTCGCTTTCATATTAGGTGTAAAAAATTCCAATCTTGCCACTGCTTTTAGTCTTTATGGTGGGATCACTTTATAAATTAGTCTATTTCTACATTATATATTCGAAGCAATTACTTACTGGGGAGGCATACTTAACCTACAATTAAACCACACTTGTAAATTTTGCACAACAAACCGTTTTAAAGTGATGAGCTTTATTTATTCTTAATACGTAGCATGATTTAAGCCTGAGGTAGGCACAAAACACCAAAGCAGGCGAATTTCATTTTGTCTAAAACAGCAAAAAACAATTCTTTCATCATATTAAAAGAAGCATGCATGCGATGGTGCCACTGATGATACATGCATATGTGTTGGTAATTCGCTTGATTAGTATAGAGGCTGAGAGCGTGTTTTCCAGCAGCAAAAGGTGAGCTGTGTGATGTTCGTGTTTCTTTCCTGGAGGAAAGTGAGGAGAGTGAGGTGAACACATGGATCTTTACATTTGACCATGAGTATAATAGATACATTTCCGTTTTTACTTTATAAAGGCATTTCGGTAACAGTGTTGGCATGCGAAGCTGGTAAAGTGAGATATCAGCTTCTAAAAATGTAGTACAATATACTTTTAATGATGGAAGTTGAAGAAGTCGGGCTCAAAGTTAACGGCTTTGCTTTTAAAGCAGTAGTAGTAGCATCTCAGACAGCCCTAAAATATTTTGTGACTAAAGGGATGCAGCACAATTTTTAAGAATATGCGTATTTACTGGTTTCGTGCACGAGCAGGTTCCTTTTTCTACTACGCCTCATAGTGCATTTAGCTTCTCACAATCCAGCTAACTTCGCGGTAGTATTGAATGGTTTCTTGCAGCATTTACAAATGATCACTTGATTATAGCATATCCTAATTAAAGAAATAGGAAACAGGAAAAAGTATGTCGTATACCCATTAATATGAAAAAAGCTACCTACTAAGAGGTTAGAATAATATTTTACAATGCGAATATTCCAAACAGTTTCTCTTTTCGTGTAAATTGTAATACACCGTGGGAGATGATTTCATTGAAGGACTTCCCTAAGGATATGGCGAAGTAGATAGAACAAAAGTATGCTTAATTGCAGGTAAAAATATAAGAAAATGGAAGCACTTTTAGGAATTATTTAAGTCTCTCCCATGTTTTACAGCAATATGTCTATTCATGTAGCTCCGCTGTGAAAAGGATTCATTGCAATACTTGCAGTAATAAAGCCACCCTACAAAAGCAGAAATTGGGGAGATAAATACCACACAATTACTGAGAGTAAACGCTTGAAATTTACAATAAAAATTAAAACGTGTTCAACTTACCCTCATGGACTTCAGAAATGTGAAGATTTAAATTGCCTCGGCGCAAGAAGGATGTAGAGCAATATTGGCAGGTAAATGGCGTCCTCTCTAAAATTTTGAGGTCCAGAAAGTAAATGTCTTAAACACCGAAAGTGATTTACTTGTCAGACAATAAAGGATCAAATTTAGGAATCTTCACTGTCGAGGACCTCTAATATGCAATCGCTCAGCGTGCTGAGATTCCTCAACTCTTTCTGACAATGCTCATTGGCAAATGACTTCTACCTAAAACAAAATTATCAAACCTAATTAGATATAATATAATTTTAAAGACCTTTTAAGGGGTACTAGAGCAGATCTTATGAATTGCAGGGATGTGGTAGCCTAAATCACATCGGTTGGTGAATGATTCATTGAGACGAAAGCATCTGACTTATGTACTTCATCAAACGTAAAATAACAAAAACCAGTCATTCTGATAAATCAGTTTTTTGCATTCCCGGAATCCAAACGCCCTCTTTAAAATAGTTCATGCATAATAAGTTGTCCAAATTGATTGCGATTACGTGATTCACTTTCACGGATATCCGAAAGGTGTTGGTTTAGTATGCCATGACAGGAAAAAGCTTTTCTGCACAGTGGACACTGAAGTTATCTTTTATTTAGGAAAAAAAGCAAAATCAATGAGTCTAGGTGGAAAATTATAACTAACTTTCATGAATCGTTAAAGGATTAGACCAAAGTTTTTTACCTCCTGCGCATATAATCATAACTAAAATGGCCTCATATTCTTCGTTTGTTTGAACAAATAATGTTGTTATCATGCGAAGGCAGAGCTGCATTGCAGTGCACATAACAACACAGTTGTAGCATAGGAATCTGATTTTACCCTACAGTGAGGACGCAAATCATTATATTTTTTTGGATGGAGGGCTCGACATTCTACATTTTTTTATTTAAATTGGTGCCCAACACAAGTAAGCGCAAACGAGGCCCGTCTTTTATAATAACCTTTCGCCTACAATGAGAAGCAGGATCTCTTTATCAACGGTATGACACATTTGCTGCAGTTCATCACATTTATACCGACCTATATAAAAATAAGTTTCTTGCATTCATAATTGTCAACAACTACTTCAGAGTGACAATCATGCTTTAACAAATTTGATTTTGGTTGCATAAGTAGCGCGTCTGTTACACTATAAACAAACCCAATGGCAACTTACCCTGATGAGTGTGCTCCATATGATGTTTTATTGGATGTGCGCGTTCAGAAAAACACTTTCCACATCTCCGGCATTGGAATGGGTCCTGATCTAGCAGATTTGATTCGCATTAAATAAGTGCAAAGATAGTCGTGGTACTTGTAGGATTATTAATCCATAAATGGGTCAAATTAGCACATAAAATGCTAAGATGGCGAAAACTGTATTTTATACAGTATAATGCACAAAAGCAGAAA